TTTAAAATCTGATCTATGTGTGGTATAATTTTACACATGCACCTGAACTTATAAATACTGAACAGCAACAATTAGCAAGTTAAAAACAGCTAAATGCATTGTTACATAACATGAAATTAGACTTAATCTTCTGGTATCAATTTTAATTTATCAATTTAGAGATTATAGATCTTGTATTATTTTTTGTTGATTTTTTTAAACAAAACTGTATATCTGCTTCCTACATTTACGTCCTAGACAGATCAACAGTTTTCTCTTAAACATTTGGCATTGACTACCGGTCAAAAATAGTATGATTAATAAGACAGGCCTTGAGGTTCCTCTAATATGGTAGTTCCTGAATTTATGTGCACTACACTACAGACAAACCACATTCCACCTTAAAAAAAATGCAAAGTTAACTACTCAAAAAAGTGTCAAAACAATATTCCAATTTCATTATTTCCTAATTTTTTGTTAGGTAAATTTTTCAAGTTTTTGAGTTTTCAGGATAGTAAAATATTTTGACTGTAAAATATGCTCAAAGATTATAAATACTATTTCTTCTCTAGATGTAAGAGTGATTGACAGATATGAGTGAAATCAATAAGGTTTGGGTAAAAGTATTAGATAAACTCCTGAAAATTGAATTCACAAATTCCTAATTCAGTTTAAATTTCTTCCCTTGATAAATACAAAATTCAATCCTGGAACTGGAGAGCAAAAGTAAAGACCACAGAGAAATGTTTTATACCTTTTCAGATCACAGTCACTGTTCAGATTACAGAAGATTTTCAGTCCCGGTGGCCCTGTGGAAAGTCAATTCAAAGAGGAATAGTCTTATGCCCCAATTTGAAAGGAAAACCAAAAGAAAAAAATAGTGAACCAATAAGAATCATGTAAGAAAATTTATGGAATACATTAGCTTAATTGCAGAGGATACAAATAATCAAATGCAAGAGATGCATTTTGCTACAAATTGTAAAAGAGATGATTTGGAGTAAAAGAGAACAAAACCCCCAACCACTGGCCATCTACCATGTTCTACTGGATCCCCAAGTGAAGCTCTACTGCCTGATGTGCTGACAGGATACCAAATGATTGTTTACATATAAATCAAGAGCTGAATGTATTTGGGAAATGCTTCCTTAAATCTCCAAGTTCCTGCTTGCCTTAGTACTTCTGTCACTCATCTACAAAAAAGGTAAAGACAATATGCTGAAAAATATTCAAAAAGGAGTGCATTGTATGCATTGATTATATTAGTGGAGAAAGTAGCTTTGGAAAACTCAGGTAACGTTTGTTGGGCCTATATGTCCATCTGCAAGTGTCTTCCCAGACACATATATTTTAATGTATTTTCAGTCCTTGAGACCAATGCTGTTTCAAAGAATAATGCTGACTATTCAAAAACGGATAATTCCAAAATACAGGTCTTCATTCACATTAAAATAGCTATTGATATGGCATGAATTTAGGTGACTACTAACCATATTAGGTTAGGTTGTACAGATTTTATAAATGCAATTCATGTACAATTCAATCCATGTAAAAATAATGAAAGAACGTTGCTGAATTCTGCTAGTGTTAAGAAAGGAAAACAGAGAAAGGCAGCCTTCCCACCAAGTTTAAAAATAGAAAATCCAGCTCGTGCTGTCCATCTGGGACCAGAGAGATGGTATTACTGTAGGTTTGTAATGTTTATTTCCACTTGAATTATTCCATTAGAGCGATAATTCCAGTATTTGTCACCAGATGGCAGTGCAAGGACGTGATCCCGTAACCTCTCCTCATACTCCATTAGTGGCGCCATGAGGTCATCCCCCGGCAATCACAAAGAATGCTCTTTCGGATTGCATTAAGCCTCTCCTCCTCCACTCCCTTATGTTTACCCCATCAGGCCTGCTGGCACAGCTACGACAGTTTTTAATATTCCTAGCCAACTGGACTTGGTAAGAAAAGCTTGACAGTGGAGACCAAAACCTGCCTAAAGTTAATTAGCCCAGATATTGCCATGAGCAATACTGAAGGCAAACGCTGTCTCTAATGGCAAGAGATGAAGGTCTCACCTGTGTCAGGTCATGCACAGAGGTTTGCTTCAGTTCCATGGCCTTGCAATTCTGAGCAGGATCCCAGCCTCAGGCTGTCAGCCTATCTGCCTATCTCATTCCCTGCTTTTTCAGTGCAGAATGTTGTGTTTTCCCTTGTTTCCTTTCTCCTCTCAAACAGAGCATCCTCTTCCATGCCCTAATTTGCCTCTCAGTTCTAGTGCTCTCTGACACATTCTGTCATGGCCTGCCACTGCAGCTTGAATTACAAGCACTGATCCTGTGACTCAACGCAGATTTTAGGAAGTAAAAGGAAATAAACCTGGAAGTCCAGAGATGTATTGAGCACTAAGCTACAGTTGCCTTTTGAGAAGGCAGTTTCAGCCCTATCACAGCTGTCATCACTGGAGTGCTGGCACCTGAGCAATCACATTGAAGTTGTGCAAAGGTAACTACATGTAGCATCAGATCTTCATTTGCAGATCAAGGTGTGTCAGATCTTCATGTGCAAATCAAGCATTTTCAAGTTCGCAGCATAAAAAGCTCTTGAGCTTCCTTTCAGAGGTCTGATGCATTCCTTGTATTCAGCAGGATGCTGATATGTGGTAGGAAAGTAATGCTATGATACAGAAAATTAAAGGCTAGGACAGTTCCTTCTGACAGTCTAATATGACAATATGACACAACCTGTCTCTGTAGCAGACAAAATGAAAAATACTGCTGATTTTCACCCCCTTTCTTTTTTTTTTTTTGTTAATGAATGTTCTTCTCAATAGGGCAATAGTGATTGTACTATAGATACTCATGCATATGCAGAATAATGTATATATGCTAGTAAATTTAAATACAAAACCATCTGTGAGATGATAATCCAAAACAATTCATGAGTAAGAAAAGAGAGTCTGGCAGTACATGTAAAGACAGAAATGAAATTAAATGAAATTGCAAAACCCCAAAATTCCTAAATGAAGTGAAAACAATTAAATGGAATTGGAATTACAGGAATGAGCTGAAACTTCACAGAAAGGTTTGTCATTGAAATCTTGAGATTTTATTTTCTTTCATGAAAAGAAGGATTTTCATTTCATGAAAAGAAATTAAATGAGATATTAAGGAATGAAGGGAAATGAAAAGACAGGAAAGGAAATATAATGACATGAAATTAAATTGGAAAAAAAATTCTGAAATTAGGTGCAAACAATTAAATGGAATGGAAAGAAAGGAAGTGCAATGAAATGGGCTGAAACTTTGTGAAATTATTTTCATTGAAATCTCAAGATTTCATTTCCTTCCATGAAGTGAAGAAGTCATGACGGTTTTAAGGTCTTAAAATAAATTCCCAGTTAAACTAAATTTTGTTAGGCAAAATCAGGGCTGTCTGTTGTGGCCTTTTGAATGCCAAGTTGAGTAAATTCAGGCTTCCATAAAACCCCTCAAGAATGACAATGAATGTAAATTATCATGTGATTATAAATGTTTCTCTCCCATTCTTCTGAAATCACTTTCATGTAGTTCAGCTACATTAAAAACATTAAATATAACAATACCAGACTAATGGAGAGTGGCTGAAATAGCCCAGGATTTCGCTTTCAATGATATGAATTTGATTTAGTAAGCCATAAAGATTTCAGTGGATGTTTATAGCTAAAGGAAAACATTGGGACAAGAACTTTGAGGAACCCTTTTTTCTCCTTTGAAAATAATTTTTGGTTAACTGGTGTCAGTGCCAAGGTGTACATGTCACCAAGCCACCAAGACTCTGGGCACTTGGGGAGATTAGCTGTCTGGGGCTCTTCTGATGAATGAGTAAATTATTGTGAAATTATGTGTTAATGAAGGTGAGGAAGTGACTGAACACAGCAGATATAAGATTCTTTCTGTGTGTTAACTTTAAATGCTTGACCATAGGGCATGTGCAAATAGCTCCTTCTCAAAAAAGCTAAAACAAGTGCAAGCATTATGGTTATACTGTGAATCTGACTAATTAAGATAGTGTATGGATCCATGAGCACATTAAGTATATATTTTTTCAGATATATTTCCTTGTTTCTGGAAGGTGGAATTTTATTGCTCTATTTTACTGAACTATATATATTTTTTTTTTTTTATTGAGGCATTGCTATAGTTAAGGGAAAGTAAGAATAGTATGGAATTTGTAAACACTCCTTTCTCTTCCTATTGACATTTTTATAGTACACAGGAAATCGTGGTTGCAATTTAAATGGTTGTAAATAGCTTTTACTACTAACCTGATTTGGAAATCTCTGTTTGAAAACCATGACAGTTTTATTATACCACATTGGTAAAAACAGCCAGACTACCTGGCATCTCCTTTTTTCCATCTACAGTGTATAGCAACATAATTTCTAACTTGTATTTTACCCCTTTTCATGCTTTATTTACAATGTTATTGGTTTGGTGTAAGTTGGTTCCTTTTTTAAACACTTGTGTCTTAACACTTGTTATTGAATCCTAAATATACTTCAAAGCATTGTTCTTTGGACAGTCAAGATGATTAGGCTTTAAGGCTCCCATACTGCTACTCTAATGCCTCCATCATGTTCCTACACTGCCTGACTTCCTGCCTTTTCTATGAGTAGATATCCTTCTCCTATCATGTATTTTCTGAATTTCAGAGGTTAAAATCTGCATTTAGCTTGATGCCCTACAGAGAGATAGGAAGAAAGGGACAGATCTTTGTTGTACCTCAAATGATACAACAAGACAGAGGAACTTCAAATATTCCACAATAGACAAAGTAACCCCCAAGCACCACATTCATGCCTGTTGTAGAGTTAATTTGTTCTTGAATATCATACTTGATATTGCTTGTTCCAAACAACAGTGTATGCCACACAGTAGCTGAAGTAACTACTGACCTCATAAAATGGTCTGGACTTTTTCAGTGCTAGAATTCTATTAGTGAAACAATTCTGAGAAACCATGCACTAGTTGTACTACTGGTTGAAACACATGAACCAAGCCAAGCAGCTACAAATCTGGAAGGAGAGCAAACCACAGTCTGGTGCTGCAGATGGGGGACATCCACAGTCTTTGCTAGAAGAAGGCATGCCCGAGGGAGGAAATGTTTGACTTCACATTCTCAGAAGAAAGTTGCCCCCTTTATAATGAAAGCTGTTGCTTTGTAAGAAGTTGTCCTGGAAGGAGTGTGACAAGGCCTTTCTTCACTCAGATTTGTCTCACACATCTGCTTCGGTGAATGCTTTTTTTGCCCTGTCAGTCTGCAGGTCCTCCCATGCGGCACAGCAGTGCCCGGACAGCCAGGGTGTGGCCGGCAGGAGCAGGGCAGTGACCGTCCCCCTGTGCTCAGCACTGCTGAGGCCGCATCTCAAGGGCTGTGTCAAGTTTTGGGCCTCTTAATTCAGGAATGACACTGAGAAACTGGAACTAGTCCAGAGAAGGGCAATGGAGCTGGAGAAAGGTTTGCAGAACAAGTCCTGTGAGGTGTGGCTGAGGGAGCTGGGGGTGTTTAACCTGGAGAAAAGGAATCTCGTGGGAGACCTCATCACTCTCTGCAACTGCCTGACAGGAGGGTACAGCCAGGTTGGGGTTGGCCTCTTCTCCCGGGCAACAGGTCATAGGACAGGAGGACATAGCCTCGAGCTGCCTCAGGGCAGGTTTAGGTTGGACATCATCTCTTCACAGAAAGGGTGATTAGACATTGGAATGGGCTGCCCAGCGTGGCAGTGGAATTACTTTCCCTGGAGGTGTTTAAGGAAAGACTGGACGTGGCACTCAGTGGCGTGATCTTGTTGACATGGCCACATTCAGCCGCAGGTTAGATTCGATGACCTCAAGAGGTGTTTTCCAACCTGATTGATTCTGTGGTTTTTGTGATTCCCTCAGCTGTTCCCGCCGCCGCCGCCTCAGCGTCTCTTGTGTCACGCCTGCCTCCCTCTCCCGCAGGGACCAAACACCCCAGGGCATCACGCCCGGCTGCCTTTCCCTTGGGAGAGACCCCAGCGAGGGGCTCCTCTGCCTGGGGACTGGCTGAGGAGACCGCTGCTCTAACACAATACGGCAGCGCAGCCGCGGAATCACATCTGTCTCTAGAGGGGGGCAGACGGCTCTCCGCGGGCCCGGGGCAGGTTCTGCCGTGCGCGTAGCGGAGGGGGAGCGGCGGCGGCGGCGCGGCCGTGAGGGGGAGTGGGGCCGGGGCGGGGCTTCCCGCGGGGACGGCACAACTCGCCGGGGCTGGCGGCGGCGCCATTTTGAATTGGCTGAGGGTCGGAGGCGGCGGCTGCCGAGCAGGGTTCCGCGTCCCCCGAGGGAGAACCCGCGAGGAAGGAGCGGATATGGCCGCGAATAGGAACTTGAAGCAAGTGCGGATCGAAAACAGCTCCCCGGCGGTGCCGCTGGGCATGGTGGGGGGCGGCGGCGGCGGCAACCTGAAAGGATTGCGCGGCCTAGAAGCGGAGAGTGAGGCGGCGGCGGCCATGGCTCTGGTGCCGAGCAAAGAAGGCGGCGGAGATGAGGAGCAGGAGGTTGGGTTCACCATCGATATCAAGAGCTTTCTCAAACCTGGCGAGAAGAGCTACACGCAGCGTTGCCGGCTGTTCGTGGGGAATCTGCCTACTGATATCACCGAGGAGGATTTCAAGCGCCTTTTCGAGCGCTACGGGGAGCCCAGCGAGGTCTTCATCAATCGGGACCGTGGCTTCGGCTTCATCCGCCTGGTGAGGATCCGAGCGGGCCCCTGGGGCTGTCTCCGAAAGCGAGAGGCTTCGGTCCCTTGCCCCCCGCCCCCTTCCCCTCCATTTCGGCGGGTGTAAAAAAAGGCAGCATCTGCCTCTCTTCCTCCTCACTGCTAGCGCAGGTCCCCCCGCCTCTTCTTCCTTCTTTCCCCTCCCCATTCGCCTCTACACATCCAAGCCAGACCCTTGCATTCAGAGGAGTCTTCCCAGCCCCTGGCGTTTCGGTCCCCGCCTCACCCCATGGCACTTACTACAGTTAATTATAAAGAATGGACAGGATTGTTTGGAAATACACAACATCCGTGCTCGCACATAGTGAGCACGGAACATAAAATCACGGAATTGAAAAGGTTGCGGACCGCGGGTTGTTTGAATTACTTGTGCCCGGATAAGACAAGATTTCTCGGGGTAATACAGTATTTGATTAAACACGCTCGAGTTAAGCATGCAAAAAACCGAATCATTTGAAAAGTTTATGATACTGTATTTAAATGGTAATTTAGTATGCGAGATTAGTTTTCACGATTGCTCTGTTTAAAATGCACAGATTTGTATCATTCTGGGAATAGCTTTAGAGTGCTTTAGGTGTCTAGTCATGATTTTTCCAATATTTTACTGGTTAGAGTTTTTTTACTTTTTGGTTGTCATCTTAAAATACTTGTGGCATTCTGCCATGCATCTTTTACCCTGAGAATTCCCCGGCCTGAAATAGCAATTTTATGGAGGAAGTGGGATATACTTACATCTCGTTACTCATTTTTGTGCGTAATACAAATTAGATAGAGTTTTTATGTGAACTTCCATTTTCCATTACGTTTAGGGAATATATATATATATATTTTAACAGCTTGCCTAGCCTGTTGAACTGTGAAGAAATATATAAAGAATTTATAAATGTCAGGGATTGCAGGTATCCAACCTGGTGAAGATTTTTGAAGTGAGAAAAAAGGTAGTTAATTTACACAGTCTCACGGATGTGGGTGCAGAAAGCCCATTAATGTGAGACGAATGAATTGAAGAGCAAAGAAGGTAATTTCACCATTTGTTGATGAAATTTGAATTGGACATCCATTGAGGGCAAGTGCGATATTTTCACTTATTTAAAAACAAAACAAAAACCCAACCCAAAATACCTTAGATCCTGTAATGTTTGAATACCGTTTCCTGCTGTGGGGAGCCAGAGATGCAGAATATAAACATTTGAGTAGGTAAACGTGAGAAGTACCAACTTTCCAACTCTACTCAAAACCTTTATAGAATAGTAGCATCATAATGAGAATCTATTAAATCCTCTAATAGGCAAGAAAAAATTTGCGTCTGTGTTGTTTTTAGAATAAACCAGGGGTTTATTCTAAATAATAATATAAATAAATATTATATTTATATCTATTTTATATCTAAAAATAAATAAGGGGTAATGAATGCATTTTTTTCAGTCAGAGGACAGAGACTTTGTTGATTTGTTTGTTGGGTTTTTTGTTGTTGGCTTGATGTTTTGATTGGAGGAAACAAGTTGAATGGTCCTGTTGCCAATATGCTCAAGTGAAGGAAAACATCACTTTTCGGGGGGGGGCACACAAAAGTGATACTTGCTGTCTTTGAAAAGAAAAGATGTAAAATATTTTCTATCTCTATAAAGGAATCTAGAACCTTGGCTGAAATAGCAAAGGCAGAACTTGATGGTACTATTTTGAAGAGCAGACCACTTCGAATTCGATTTGCTACCCATGGAGCTGCCTTAACTGTGAAGAATCTGTCGCCTGTGGTTTCCAATGAGCTGCTGGAACAAGCATTCTCGCAATTCGGGCCAGTGGAAAGAGCGGTTGTTGTAGTAGATGATCGCGGCAGAGCTACAGGGAAAGGTTTTGTAGAGTTTGCAGCAAAACCTCCGGCACGGAAAGCTCTAGAAAGATGCAGTGATGGGGCATTCTTGCTTACAACGTAAGTTCACAGGTTTTTGTTTGGAGTTGTGAGTATATCTTCCCGATGTGAGCAAAAATTGCATTCTTACTTTGTTTTCTAATTCTCTCAAAGCCATGAGGTTAGAAAAGTGTTTTGCATGAACACCACAAATACTCTTGTTTTTTTTTTAAAGAAAACCATCTTTCTTTGCTTACTGTTTATAAGATTTCTTGTTACCATATTAGAGTCTGAGAGCAAAATTCTCGTTTTTTTCTTGCTCATATGTAATATTACTTTTCCTTCTCTATATAATAAGGCATTTTCTGTTGAGACTTTCTTCTCATTGGTTGCAGTCTTCCTGATCCCAGTAACAGTGACAAAATAATATTCCTTTGTTTCTTAACAAATCAGTGCACGACATGGCTGATATTTCTGTAGACTAAAGAAAGTGTTTATACCCCAAAAATTATCTGTGGCTTGTAAGGCCAGGATTTTCTCGCTGTTTTAAAATGAAGACTGAGATTCTGAAGAGGTTGATATATGTACTAGTGATACTTGGAAAACAATCTATTTCAAGGACAAGCAAGCTTGCAAATAGCAGCACTTCTCCTGCATCTCCTATTTCTGTACTTGCCAAAGAGAGTTGTTAATTGCTGCACTTTACACAGTCACAAGTGACATTTTCAAATGCTTTCTTAAAAACGGTGTGAAATTATACATATTTATGATTTCTTTTTATTTCTGTGATTCTCATTGGGAAAATAAGGCTGTGGTTTCACAGCATGAAAACTTGCTGCCGTTAATTGGGTTTGGAGTTCTTTTCCTGCCCTGGCTGTGCTATTCTTGAACTTTGTGACACTTCCATAAGCCACTTGTGCTTGCTAAAACAACAGAAAAGCATTCATTTGTATGGGGGTCCCTTGCAGTCTGCTCAAGCACAGGAAAGTGCTTGCTGATGTCAGGTCCAGCAGAGAATTAGGCAGGAGAAAATGTTGCCAGGAGGAGTTGGCAGGTGAATAAGGGGTCTGGGACTCCCAAATCTTGTGTGCTACTGAACTGACTTGATGGTTACATAGTAAATTTAATCTGAATACATCTTTACTGTTACCGAGAGGAGCCAGCAATTTGTGCTTGTTCCCTGGGTCTTCTTGGCAGTAGTAACTGAGTGGAAGTGTGGTGAGCTAAACAAGGGAAGTAATGTAGTTCAGTGTTACATTAGTACTATTCTTGGCGTGAGAGATGTGGCAGGGAAGAAGAAGCTGGGATATGAGGGGAGTTGCCAGCTGGATAGATCAGTTGGATTGAAATGACCATCTAACCGTGTCCTGAGTGAATAAAAAGCACTTGATCATTTTCTTGCTTAGTTGACGTGTTCCCTAATGCAAAGATAATTAGCGTGAATCTAAAATGCTGCTAATGTACTTTGATGTTTTGCTTCAGAGTCTAAAGTTTGCCTTTTTAAACTGAAAACTCTTTGCCTAATCAGAACACGTTTCAGTTCCTGTTTAAATGTATCAAAACTAGACATTCAAAACATTAGTCTTTTAACATTATTGTTTTACATCATAACATGTTAGCACCGCAGTTCAGTTGCATTTAAATAGCAGAGCTGCGAGCAATTGCCATGCAGATGGCATCAGTTGTGGTCTTTGATTCTGGGCTTCATCTTTTTAATGTGAACTTGATGCACAGTGTTAAATATATTGGGAGTCATTGGTTTTGTTTGTTGGGTTTTTTTTTTTTTTTTTTCCTGGTTAGGGACTGGGGCAGTAGGGGAAGATCTGCAAAGTGAAATAAAGACATGGAACACAATAAAACAAGTGCTGATATTTTGAAAATCATGTCTCTAGTGCTCTGTGATTTGTAAGCTCTGCTCCCAAGACTGATGCAAAGAGCTTTTTACACAATTAAGAGTTTTTACACTGCTGTCTTTGGCTCATGCTTGCCAAAATATCAAGGAAGCTGTTTTCAGCTTTTCAGTCAGGATTCTAATTTGTGAGTGTGTGGTTGTTCAAAGAATGGAATTTAAATAACTTAAGTGGAAATGTTTTTCTAATTATCGTTGTAATATTAATACTAAATTATCAAGCTGTTTTCAGTTCTAGCGTAACTTGAAGAACAGTTGTTGTAGAAGTCAGTAGAAATATGAATAGGTTGTGCTGTTCTGTTTTGGGTTTGTTGCTTTCCTAGTACAATCATGGCCTCTGTGGTGCCTCACTGATAAAAACAGAAAGGTAGTTCCTTCCTAAATATTTTGTAATTATTGATAGATGGTTTTGGTATTTTAAAAAAGCAAACAAGACTGTGTCAAGTAAGTTGTGGTTTCTAGGCAGAATAGCTGGAATTGGGCATAAAAACAATTCTTTTCTGAAGGTAATTGTTAAGATTAGGATTCATTGGAATTCTGAGATTTAAGACAAGACACAGGAGTTACATGTTAGCTTTCTGGAGTGTTTCTTCAAAATGCTAAAATAACTTATAACTGCTTCTTTAATGATTCAGTTAATAAATTGAAAATGTTTTCCAGAACACCTCGACCTGTTGTTGTAGAACCGATGGAGCAATTTGATGATGAGGATGGACTCCCTGAGAAGCTAATGCAAAAAACACAACAGTACCACAAGTAAGTTGTGGTTAGCCTTTTTTTATAAAACATTATTTATATACTTAGTTACCTTTGTAAATATACACTGATTTTTACTTTTGAGTTTGTGTAGCAGGAAGTAGTGCTTTTGTATGTTGTGCTGTTTTGGGTCAAAGGATTAAACAGGACCTTCCCAAATTTCCTAATCATGGTAAAATTCAGACTTGACTTGTTAGTTTAACATGCTGTGCATTTAATGTAGTAGAGAGATTCTTGGCCTACACTGCAGTCAGTAGGAGCTTGTTGCCAGCAAACTATAGTCTTTTATGTACTAGAGGTGTGGTCTAATCCTACAGAGATTTTGGATACCCACAGATCTTTATGTTCTCTGAATAGCCCCTGAACTGTTTGCAGTCTCCCTGGCATGTAAATCTTTGCAGCCTCCACAGTTGAGGTAAAACTTTGAGCATGACATGAGAAAGTGAATCTCAATCATGAGATAAAAGTCCCCTAATCTGAAAATACTAATTTTTAATATTGTAATTTGCCATTCATGTTGCTTGAATCTAAAATGTTGATTTTGAGACTGTAGAATACCACTTCTTAAAAATTTGTCACTGTTAGGTACAATATTACTGTTAGAATTGGAAATGTGGGCTCATTTTAAAGGCTGCAGATTCCAGCTAATATTCTGGGCTGTCTAGTAAGCATTGATATTTATCTAAATAACTGGTTTAGTGGATTGACTGCTTGATTTAGAAGGCTGAGCACTGTTAATCTAGTGTTGCAGCTTAGTATTTTGTATTGATGGCAATACAAATTTTTATCTTAAATAAATTGAATCTTTATTTGGGCAATTTTTGGAAAAGTGTCTTTTTACTTATCTTAATGTCTGATTTAATCTTTGTCTGGTTTAGAATGTAGTCATCTGACAGGTTGATAAAAAGTGAGATCTGCACTTGAAGTGGTTGTGTATACATTCTGTGGCTGTTACAGCTGTTGATCTAAATGTGTCCTTCTGTACATTTTTACTGCAAAATTTTTATTAGGGAAAGAGAACAGCCTCCACGCTTTGCTCAGCCTGGAACATTTGAGTTTGAGTATGCTTCGCGGTGGAAGGCTCTTGATGAGATGGAAAAGCAGCAGCGGGAACAGGTTGACAGGAACATTAGAGAAGCCAAAGAGAAACTTGAGGCAGAAATGGAAGCAGCTAGACATGAGCATCAGCTAATGCTGATGAGGCAAGGTAAAACCAGATCATCTACCAGTATTGAATTTGTTTTGTCACAGATGGTTTTTTTTGTGTAGCATATTGAGCTGTATACTTAGACCTTTTGCTGGTCACCAATTAATTAAATGCATTTAACTGAGAAAAAGGAAGGAATAATTCTCTGTGCACATATTCCTTGATGATTTGCAGAAATTAATTAAGAATCTTATAAAGAGGTGATTGTCTCTTTTCCCCACTTCCTAAATTTATCTTTAGTAAAAAGTTTACTTAGCCTGTTTTTCCTGAACGGGCACATGTGCTCCCAGTGTGGAGCCATGCTGTTTTTATAAGGTCTTGTACAGAGCAGAAGGTCTTATGCAGAAGATAATAACATAAAAGCTTACCTATATAATAACATGAAAAGCATAAGGTCTTATACATAGTGTAATAACATGGAAAACTGTTTTGAAATGCCAGATAGTTGCTGCAGCACCTGAAATGGCAACTGTTTCTTGGTTCATTTTCCAAGAAAAACTGTTAAAGCATTGCATTTCCTTGTAAGCACAGGTGTATGTATTAGAGGTGAGGAATGTGCATGTTAATATGATGCAAGATAACTGCCAACAATACACAGTGCAGTCCTCCTGGGCAGCTGGATACACATTGTAATTTTGTGTGTATGCGTGACTGACATTTTTAAAGATGGTTCAGTGCTTAAGTTACAGGTTGGATAAATCTACTGTTGACTTATCTAATTGTTAATATTTAACAATGCTAATAGTCCAGTTCCAGAACTCATGCTCTTTAATTTCCTTTGAATTTATTCACCTGGTGCTTGGATTTGAGGGCAAGATTAGAGATTACTTTGTCTTAAATTCATGTCTTAATTATGTGTAAGCTGAGACAAGATTACAGTGGCCTGTTCATTAAGATAGAAGAAATGGGAAAACATGGGAAAACATCTTTGTGTTTTTGGATATTAGGGTTTCTTTTAAGGACAACATGAAGGAAAAGGTATTCTGCTTTTTGAATTTGTGAAATGCCAGTTTTATATAAAAAAGAGAGAATTATTCCTTCCATTGGAGAGCCACTAAAGCATGAAAGCATATGGTGCTACTATTCCAGTGAGAAAATATGTTTCTTTTAGTGTAGGAGGAGGGCTTTTCCCCCTCACAGTTTGGTTAGCAGAGCACCTCTTTGGTACCACATAACTCAGAATTTTGTTAGATAGTTGGGTTTCTTCTTGGTTATCTGCCAACACTTAATTTTCAGAGCTCTAGAGATCAGTAAGAATTCCCTCTGTTTTAATCTTCTGAATTCTTCAGCTTCTGTATACATGAAAATAAGGTGGTTTTTTTCACTTGTATTTATTTTCAGAGATAACTTCCTCTTGTTGCTCTGAACAGTGGGTCTAGGTTCATGCCATGCCAAGAATATTGCTTATATTAATTGCATGACAGGATTGCAATCCTGTGATTGCATCACTGTCACTCTTGCACCAAGAATGACACAGGACCAGGTGGGAGGCAGTATTGTGGAAAGAGCAAAAGAAAGCTTTATTCAAGAGAACCGTGTGGTTTTTATAGAGTGATACGATACATTGTTTGGTTGGCTAGTTAACAGTAACACCTTTCTCATACTCCATCCTTGAGAAAAACAGAAAGATGAAGCAGAAAAACACCACCTGCAGATTGTTTATACTTAACAAGTGATCACATCCTTACAACTCCCTGAAAGTTCTCACAAGCTGCTGTGAGAAACGTTTCTCTCTCTCTGTCCCATGGCATCCACACATCACAGGATTGTGTAGAAAGATGCAATGAAGTTTTTAAGGCACCAGAACCTTATAGAATTAATAATTTTGTATCCCTGGTGCATGAAGTCAAATTTAAAGATGTATTGAAGTCAATATGAAATATGAAATAAAATAGAAAATGTCATGTTTTAGTTGTGTAGGAGTTAAAAAGAAGACAGGAAGGATGAGCTTACTGGTCCATATACTCTAGCAGGTGGAGGTTGTGTTCAAAGTGCTCCACAAGAGCTAGTAGGACTGGAGCTCTAGAACGTGTTGGTTTGAGTACTCAGGTTTTTGCGGTGTGGTATTAATTCTGAAGGTAGATTTAATTCTTCTGATACGTGTAATTTTTCACTTTGTAGTGTCATATTTTGACAGATTGAGTCAGAAGTAATTTGTAAAGCAGAATACGTGTTTCCATGTGTAAGTAAATTGCACAGTATTTCTGATCTATGTACTGGTGGTATGCATCAAATATTTGTAAATATTCTCTAGTAATGGTGATTAAATAGATTATGAAAATACTGGAAAACGTGACTGAATTTAACCAGAAGCTTAATTTTTGTATCAATTATATGGAAGCTTGGCATTTATTTTCCATCTTTAGAAAAATCAGCAGCTAAAATTGCTAAAAGTCTTTGTGGAGTTGATATTCCAGTTTGTAGGATTAACTTCTGAGGTGAGGGAACACCTTCACCTTCTGCTGTCTGCTATGTTAGAAACTTGAAGGTAAAACGAAGCCCTTGTCCTTTTATAAGCACAAGAAAATGCAGAGGCTAATAATAATGCTCTCTGTTTGTTTTCTTTTTTTCCCACAGCTGCTTTAGTGCAGATTTTTTTCTGCTCAGAGAAAGGGCCTGTCAATCAAGAATTACCATCATTACAGGTCCTTTAATATGAATGGCTCTTATGCAGAATTGGAACCTCTATATCTGTGTTTTCATCTGGCTTAGTAAGGCTTTCTGCTAAGATTCGGCAGTTGTCACATGATACTGAATCTTAAATTGCTGTGTTGAACTTTTAACATACTAACAATTTCATTAAAGGCAATAAACTATGCTGTGCAGAAAAATTAGGAGAACAATGAGAAAAGTAGAGTGCTGCACCTTAAGAACAAAGGACAGTAAATGATAGTGGTAGAGAGAAAGTAGGAAGTCTTGATCCTGTGTGCACAAGAAATAGGGAATGCTGTGTAAATTTGGAAGAACAAAGAAGTAAAAAGGAAGCATATTTTCCCATAGTTGACAGTGTTGTGTACAAGTTTGAGGAAACTGATTTGCATAACTAAGAAGATATTTTAATTAGTATAGTGAAGAAATTCGTAGAGAAAGAGTGCAGACCGGTCGAACTAAAGCATGAAAGCCATGTAATGGACAATACAGGAAAATGTTACTTGTGGTTTCTATAAATAGTATCATGTGGCCAATATCCTATGTAGTCAAAAAATAAAAAAAAGAACTGCGTTCTAACAAATGGTAAAATTATTATTCATTGAAGAAAGCATAGATTTCCAGGTAGAAAGCAATAATGTGACTGGTCAGGAAAAGTAATTACTGTGAGTTATGCCCTGCTTTTTAAGGACATTTTAAGTGCTTCATAGGAGGCCATGGCTGTGCCTTTTTTGTGGGGTTAAACTACTAGTCATTTTTAAGTTGCAGTAAGCAGAGCCATGATAGAGCTTCATGGAGGTTCAGACTTCCCTCATGCACCTGAAATTCATATGACTTCTCTTGCTCTGATGTGTGCCATGCAGGGGTCTGCAGTAGGTAGTGGAGAGCATAATAGTCCATAAATATTGTAGTGGTTTTCTTGGTAGGGTGACTTTAGCAGTATAAAACGTTGTGAGAAAATTGACGCCCTGTCCTAGATGTAAAACCAGGATGTGATTTAAGGGATTAAGAGAGGTTTTTTTTCCTTTTCTTTGCAAACTTAAAACTTTTGTTTCTGTAACCTGCTCTGGGGGCTTTGCCCATTTTGTACTTTTCTATGTTTGTAAGCCACAGATCCAATGTTTTCTTCAAGTACTAGACTTAGCTTTATGGAAAGAGATGAGTTAAATGCATTGAAAATTTGGTTTAAAACCATGAATGTTAGAACTGTAATCTGACAGTAATAAATTTTGTGTTGCCACATGATTGATTGACAGCTTTTATATTAAATGCACTTTTAATCCTGTTAGATCTCATGCGTCGTCAGGAAGAATTGAGGCGCTTGGAAGAGCTTCGAAACCAAGAACTTCAAAAACGCAAGCAGATACAGCTGAGGTATTTTGTCTTCTACTGTGCACAAGTGTGGCATGCAGCCACTGTAGGCCTGCATGAATTTAGATATGTTAGCTAAGCTGGCTTCCCAAAAGCATTATATGTGATGTTTCTGATAATGTAATGCAATATAAAAGATTGTTTTCGAGTGTTGCTTGATTCTTTTCACTTATTTCAGCTCTACTAATTTTGTTGTAAATTTCTGAGATGTCTAAAGGGCATAGAAATGTCAGCCTATTTTTTTGTTTCATATTTATTTTAACATGACCAAAGCATTGCTGTGATAGATAGGAACACACTTCTAAATTTTATGGGCAGCTGATCTGCATGTAGAATCACAGCATTGCAATCTTATAGTCTGATATGGGATTTTGGAAGTTTTTTCACTTGATATTCTAGTATGTTGAAAACAATTTTTCTTTTAGGATTTGACTCATGCAAATAATTGTTTTAATGCCTCTTCTAAAGTTTAAGAAAATAGACATAGTCTCTTCATATTGATTTGTACTTTTTGTTAAATATCACAATAAATGTCAATAAGATAAAAAGAACAGCGCAAACACATCTCAGAATTAAAAATTGTGTCTTTTGGCCCTGTTGAAATGTTTTAATCCATAGCAGCTTCTTTAAAACTGGAATATTTTAACATGTTTACTGATACATAGCTGGAAGAGTAGGTATAGAATGTACTTACCTCTGAGGCTGAGTGCAAACCTAAACAGGTCAAGAGACTAAGCTGCCTTAATTTTGAAAAATACCCTAGACATGAAGAAGAGCACAGACGTCGGGAAGAGGAGATGCTGCGCCAGAGGGAACAGGAGGAATTACGACGACAGCAGGAGGGAGGATTTAAGCCAAATTTCATGGACAATGTAAGTACAGTTCTATGGTGAAAGTCCAAATTGCAAAAGGATTTTTTCATTACATTATTTTTATACTAGTTATTGAACTGCCATCTTCTTGTTGGCTGTTTTCAATTCAGTATTTCACTGTTCCCCTGAGCAAATTGCTACATATTCAGTTGTGTAATTACTCTTTTGTATGATGACATCACTCTTATTTTTCCAACAAGCTAGTGGTGTAACACTTCCATCAAGTGAAGGTGCTCAGATACTAATTTTTTTACTTGGGAATTGAAATGCTTCAGTAAAATAGTTTTTCTAAGTGGGAGGTGATAGGAATCACCCATCCTGATGTGCCCTACTCTGCCTGAAGGTTTAAATTTTAAACCAGTTAATGCTGCTAAGCTTGTTTGAATTACTGGTTTTGGTTTATGCTTAACTTACTAAGAAAGTTTTCAGAAACAAAAAGGGCAATATTAATTTCATATGGAGCCTAAAATCATTCTCCCTTTTGACGCTGTGTAAAACTAGATGAGGAGAACATCCAAATCATTACTAAAGGAGACTGAAAGATTATAATGGTGAGGGAAAATTTGTCCTCGCTATAATCTGTACGTTATTTATATTCGTAATTTAGGTATGCTCTGCCTCTGAAGACTCATCCTGCAGGACTAACAAAATAGTGCTATCAGAGGAGTCAGATTCTAAATTTTTTTGGTTAAAGGGTATGACTTCTTTTCTACCAGCCACATCAGTTCAGTGAATGCAAACTGTGTTGCAAATGCTTTAATTTCTCTTGAGTAGGATGCCTTTTACTATAACAGCTATTCCTAGTGAGGAAATAATGAATAAGCAATTCACACAATGCTCTTTTACATTATTAAAACAACTGTAATTTGCAGGAGGGGATTTTGCTCCCCTTCACAGGTGCAACTTCATACATCAATGAGAAATGAGCTGGTTTCTCAGCTGCTTCCTGTGAAAGAAAAGCCTGGTTTACATTCTATGCCATGAAATTTTCTGTAGGGTTGTGAAGAATTTGTTATGTATGTTCTGAGACATCCTGAGAGATGTTAGAAAATAAATTATTTCCTCTTTCCAGCAGGACATTTTTCCCCTTGTCTGTCCCTTAGTTTTTTAGTAAAGATGGGGAGGAAGCAAAATAGTTCCTTTGATTTTATTAACAGGTGTGATTTGTTTTTGCTCTCTGTGTTTTGAGGGACTCACATCCAAAACAGATGGTAATTTATTTACATATGTTCTCACTGTAAAAGAAAACTGCTTTCAGCACATCTTTTCTTCAAGGTAACGAAGACCAAGGATTCAGAACTCATACTGTCCTTTAGTGTTTTCCAAATATTATCAAACATAATTGGGGAAATAGCATGTTACAGTTGTCTCGTGTAATTTAGAAATAGCACTTACTGATGGCTTCTGTAGTGCCAAATGTGAAATTTCACATCACTCTAATATCCTAACGTAGCATCTTTTGGGGTTGCCTGACTTTCTGACCCTGTAAGCTACTTGTCAAAACCTCCTGGCTCCTCTGTGAGACCCGTGATTCTTGCTGCAGAGAGCTGGAGTAATAGCAAGCTGGAGAGCCAACTCACTGCCCTGGGATGGCAGTAGCTCCCTCAGATTCCATTGCTGTTAGGAAGCTGTGGCCTGTGTTCTGCAGCTTGGAGCAGGGAAAGCTAGATAATGTTGGCCACCACAGCCTTTACTGGTTTATTCTTACATCTGTCTTGAGATAGGAGTATTTAGTCTCTGTGCTTAAATTGCTTACCACAGTTTGTCCATCCTTGTTGCTTATCTAAATTTTTAAATTCCAAACCCTACATGAATAGAAACTGTTAAAGTTGTTGTGCTGGACTTGGCAAAAATGTAGGATAAAAAGGGAAGAAGAGTGGTTCAAATGGAAATCACTTCAGTTACTATGCATAATTTATATGGCTTTATATGTCAAATTTTTTTTGAGGTGAAAGGTAGAAGAGTGCTTTGGAAGAGTGTAGCTTTCCCACTCTCATGCATTACTGAAATGGTGTGTTCATGTGGACCTAATTAATACACTGCAAGAATATATACATGTAGTTTTGCAGTAACAGCCCTACCAAAAGCTTTTTAAGTTAGATATAAAGGACTATAGAGTACACGTGTTGTTTTTTAATCATCATATGAAATTGAAGTGGCATATACAATGATACATGAAAAAATGTATTTTTAAGATTAGTATTTAGTGTTCTGGTTATGTCTAGGTTTTACTTCTAATGCTCTTTAAACATGAAAAATTGAAACAAAATAGTGAGTGATGTGTTTACTTACTTTAGCAACACTTTCTAATCAGGGCAGCAGTGTGACTAAGCATTTTTTAGATGCTTGTTTTAAGATGTGCTTAGATAACTAGTTATATAGTGTGAATGGGAATTGAAAAAGCCTTTGCCTTTTGCAGCAGAGAAAAACTGTAAGCCTTTTCTGGAGATTGCAAAATGACACATGAAATCTGATTTCAACTTAGAATGTCTTATACAACTAATTAGTTTTTATTTGTTCTTACTAATACTTGTTTACTGTGAACAGATTCCATCTTGCACTTACTTCTACTCTCAGATTACTACTGTACATGTACTGAGAAAGTTATTCTCTATTTTCAGAGATTAAAAGTTGACTGTTGGTGAGAATTGCATTTTTTGGTACTGTTGGATAGTTTTTTACCATATCAAGTCTTGATAAACTCTTCTGGCATTATACTTACAACATATTAAAGTCTTCTGCCAACAATGTATTTAGCAGGACAATAATAATTGTTTCTAATCATTGTTTTTGTTTCTTAAAAGCTTTGAAAAGTAGCTTCCTTCACTTACATCCTATCACTTTTTACTGGTCAGTCTAAAACAGGAAGATAAATGGTAAGTGCAATGGCAACCAGAATTGGACCCTCTCATGTAAGGCTGCAGTATTAGGCTTTCCTGTTGAAAGTTTCTATCTGTGTCTTTTCCCTAACTCATTAAACTTGGATTATTAAAAATTATAACTACTTTTGAGAAACATCTTGTAATCAAGTTTAATGCAGCTAGCAGTTATTTGATTTTATTACAGATGATAAAAATATTATCTGTGAGAGGATTTATTTTCCTGAAGCATTTTTGTTGCTGGTGATGATGAACATTAGAAATTTGATTGCATTGATTGTTAATATAATGGGCAGCCTGGTGATGCCTAAACAATTTATTAATCTATTTGTGTGATCTCTACTAGATAAATTATGAATAAATACTTTCATATTGGTTAGGTTTTTTCCCTTCCTTTCTACAAGTCAGTTAGTTGAATTGTGCTGTTATAAAGCTCAACAATTTATATGCATTCTGATTTCACAGTAGCTTAATTGGGAAACTAATTTTCCAGTAGTATTTTACTAATTTTTATTTTGCATACATTCTTCTGGCTGAAAGAGGAACTTGATGATGGTGATTTATTTTGCAACAGCACAAATATTTTTTAAATAGAAAATACTTCTGAGTGCCAGTAATACATTAATTACTCAAATATGCAATCGTTATTATCCAGTTATGGATGGCTTGCTTTGATTTACGTTGTTGAATCTCAATCAGAGGCGTTCTACAAAATAATTCCTGTTCCAAGACCTGCTTTTATTTGTGTCACCAACTTAGTGTTTTGGATTTAGTGTATTAAAATAGTCTCTATGTGTCTAAAACAGAGACCAAAAGTATGTAGGAGTTGTAGTCCTGGTTTTATGTGGATAGATTTACTTCTGTAGTAACACTGTGAAATAGTGTTGGGTGGGTATTGTACTTAGTGAAGCAATAGCTGTAATACCAGCCTTAAACTTACCTCTCTTCTTGCTGGTAGTTTAAAGAGGGAATTGAGATTTTTGGACATCCTTGCCAAGGAAAGGATGTCCTCCAAGGAAAACCCCTTTTTGAATGTGTAAGGGACTGTTTCCTGAGATTTCTTCAGTTTCAATTTCTGAATGCTTGCTGGTTTTTTCATGTAAGACTTCGTATATTAAATAGTTTTCTTTTGAAACTCATAGTCTTTTCAGGAATTATTACTAGATGTTGTTTTGCTTTCCTTTAGTTTTTCTTGCAGAAGCATTGCTCTCAAGTTTGGTGAGTAATTATCAGCATAAAGTGTCAGCTGCTAAAGCAGTGGAGATGCTTCAGCAGCAGGGATTGTAGTGGACTTGGATCAAAAACTGTAAGACAGATGAGAGCAAGAAAGTAAAAAGGCACATTGCAAAACAACAATGATGTTTATAGCTTCAGGAATGCTATCGCAACATAGTTTTTCTTCTAAGAGTTTGGTCCTTTGGAGCAGTTTATAAATATAGTTTTCCATTTCTTACTGTTTGAAGCCCTATGGAGGCATGTCTTATCCCTCACTTCTAGGTTCACTTGTGAGTTAAGCATTAGGCATGTTTTAAACAAGACTGTCAGATTTCCTTGAACTTCTGTAATTCAGGACTAGATTTTTGCACTTCTTGCCTGTTTAGGAGCATAGAACTGTATTTTGATCCTATCTTCTCATAGCATTGTGCTCAAAAGCTCCAGTAATGTAAGCAGTTAGAATTTTCACTGAATGGTGAATTGTTTCTTACCTAACTCAAAACTAAGCTGAGGCAGATGCCCAATAATAAAATAATGAAACCTTTCTTAGAATCTTTTCAAATTTGGTAAGTTTTCTAACAATTAACGTTGGTTATTTTATCCTGACAGCCTCGTATACTGAATGAAGCTAATGGTGGTGAAGTTGTGTGAGTTCATATGAATAAAATCTCAGTTTCTTGCTGCTTTATAAAAGCTCTTCTGTAGAGCGGGATTGGGTGAGATGAATTGCATCCTTACTGCAGTCCAGCATACATAGTTCATGTGTGACACCTTAAAGGCTTTTTAAGGTAAAACTAGCTTGGAAAAAGACAAATCATTAAATGCAGAACTAAAACACACCAACCTGACAAAATACTGCTTTTCTTGGCAGTGGTTTTATTTCAGTGATCAAGTTTCTTCCTATGC